AGAGGCCAGCTTGAAAGTAGGCTTTGTAAGGGATTTTGAAAATATCTCTTTTGTCCGAAGAGGTCTCATCTGCCTGCGAGGTGAATAAAGGGCTGCCAAGAACAGTGGACCTGCGGAAATGAGAACATCAAGATCAGCATCTGCATGATGAGAAACCTTGACAGTTTCTTGTAATGTCGTGTTCTTCAACTTCCCTTGGCGATAGAATGCAGCGATATTATCACGCCCACTGATTGCATGTAGGAACCGGAGGTTCTGGTTTGACAACAGACGAGAAGTTGAATTACCTGGGAGAGTAGAACGTGTTCTGAGAGGTTCCCTTTTCAGGTTTTATGACGTAAATGTTGGATAAAGAAAGAGGCACGATTAATTAATACATATTAATTTGGTTGAAATTTACCTGGATGGGCAATGTTAATCCTGCCTCTTTCAGATAAATTTGGTGCTTTGGCGGGTAATATGATCAATAAATCGGTGACCTCAAATCAAATCAAATTAAAAAAAGCTTTATTGTCCAAAAAATTATGCAATTCCATTGAGAAGGCCAAAAATGTCTCAAATTAATTTCCTATGTCCTAAAATGTATACTAAGTTAAAATTAAGATGTCAGTGTTGAGGAGTACCCTTTTAAACAAGACAAAAAACTAGAAAGACGAGCAATAAAATAACAGTGAGAATTTCATACATCTGTCAAAACTGGTTTTTCAACAATAAACTGACATGTTTTGATTGTTGATTTGAACCAATCAGATTGGAATTACGCGATAATTTGCACTAGTGCAAATTATCAGATAATTGCATAGTAACTGGTGCGAAAACTGGTGTTTTGACATTTTTTGATAAAAAAATTAATTTTTGATTCATGAAATTCTCTCATCAAATACAACTCGTACAATGGAAATATATTTATCATTTTCGACAAATTTGCACTCATGCGTTTTTAACTGAAAAGGCACTCGTGCACTACGTGCACTCATGCTCTTTTTCAACTAAAAATGCATTCGGGCAAATTTCCCAAAATTTATCAATAATTTCCATCGCACTCGTTATATTACTACCTATTGAAAATTCTATATACAATTAACAACATCTGAACAGTTTACCATAAATAAAAGAACATTATCATGGCTAGATTTGATAGCATCAAGATACCTCAGCAAATCCAACACAGAACCGATGTGCCAGCGCGGGATAGTAGCGAAATTTTCGAAAATAATCATCACTATAAACAAAGTCAAACACTACATGAATCAGTTAAAGCCCACTTGAAATAAATAATTTAGTAGGTAGTTGAAAAATTGAATATATCACAGTTTAAGAATCACAGTTTAAAAATCACAGTAAAAAATTGAAAGATTAGTCTGAGTAGACTTCCCCAAGACGGTAATAGGCTTTGGTTTCCAGAATTCTCTTTAAAATGTTTCTAAATCCTCCATAGTCCTCCACACCCTCTATTTTGTCTGGCATCCTGTTGAAGATCTTAATGCTCTCATAGATAATAGAATTTTTCAGTTGGGCAAATTTCAGAATGAGTAATGGAAAATTTTGATTGCGTAGGTTGTAACCAGTGTCTCTTACTATATCATTATTTTTAAATTTTTTAAATATTAGACAGGCCGTTTCCATATGAATATGCAGGGAACCGTCAAAATTCTTTCCCGTTTAAAAAAAGTGGTCTGCAGCTCTGTCCGTATCCTGCATAGCAAATATATCTGACTACTCTCCGATAATAATGACCGTCGCAAAGCTACCTGCCAATTGAATGGCGGTGTTGACAATAATAGAGTCAGGAATGATCCTCAAGACTTTGCTTTACTTTAAACCCCTGCTGTACCAATCTCTCAAGCAGCATGGAATTAAGGCGTTCTTTGTTATTGTCGTTGGAGAGAATTTGTTTTTTCGACTTGGTTGCAGTGACTGTTTCAATGAACACCACGTTTGCAGAAGAGAACTTGCATTTACGGCGAAGCTGCTCAGCTGATTTGTTACTCTTTACTGATGCCGCATCCTGGTAGGTAACCATCAAAAACGATGGTTGTACTCGAAGGATTGTAGTATTTCTTAACGTACCTAGTCCACGTATTCGGAGAGAATTGTTGAAAAATTTTCCAGAGACACTACCAAATGTCATTCGACGCTAAATTCAGTCCTTTCTAATATTGAATGGAATGATATTTTCCGTCCGACGCATCGTTTTCCAGCTACAAGCAAAAAACTGAAAAAGTGCAAAAATTTGGCGGATTTTTGGCTTCAAAAAGTTATGCTCACTCCTAGGATGGTGTAAACTCAGATGAATTTAGGATCAAATGTCCAAATGGAGGTATTGAAACGATTGCCAGCTTACTGGAAATTGATTCCTCAAAAAATATTGATCTGATTGGCCTATCTGTGTAATTAATTCTCAAATGCGAATTACGATGTGTGGCTGCCCTCTCAAAGTTTTTCCCTGCATTTCCTCGGATAAAGCGAATCTCTTCTTATGTTTTCATTCTGTAGGTACACTAACGTGCGATGAAGGCCATACTCAGCTAGATGTTTTTCACAGTGGTGTTGCTTTTATCATCACTTTCTTAGTTTTTAGTTTCAGTCTTTCCGATTGATTAACGGATAGAACCGACCCCATCCCTTCAAAGTCAATCCTCGGTACTTAACTTGCCTAGGTCTTCTCCTTCGATCTTGATATTGACCAGTGGAGTCAACCTTGTTCTCTGAAAAAGGATGACTTGACACACTGATCTTGATCTTTCGATTGATGCACAATTCAACATCAGGTCCATTTCTTCCAATTCTTCCTTGAGTTTCTCTCTCACCCATTCTGAGCTTTTTCTTCGTGCGATAATTGTGCAATCATCTGCGTGCCTTATTGTATCTTCCGAATTTCTGCAACAATATAGATGTAGTGTAGATGTTGTACAAAAGGGACCGGCTATTTTGTGGTTCTTGGCATGGCTAATTTATTCTGAGTATTTCTAAGGGCTTCTAGGTCAGTCGAATGTCTTGCTCTGAATCTAAATTGCTAATCTGGAATAGATTCGGTTTCTCTAGTTTCCTGTACGATCGTGGAATTGATAGCTCTGTCTGATACCTTTTCCAAAAGAGGCAAGAGTGGTGGTATAATTTATCTGTTGGAACTCTTTGTCCTCACCTGCTTTGCTTAGCATGATAATGAAATCCCTAAATCCCCATACTTGCTATATCCTAATCTCAAGAAGGGGTTGGTAATGTTGGTAAATGCCACAAACGGCTTTCCTTGGCATATATTTGAGCTGTTTTCTCACGTTTACTTTTTTGCTTTAAAACAGGTTTGTTGTCAATGGAAACACCATTGACAAACCTATTTTGAATCCAGTTTCAAAAAAGTGAACGCGAGAAAACAGTGGCTTTCTTGACATTTTTAGCCTTTCAATTACCATCTGAATTTCCTGAAGCGTAGTGACCATTTCATTTTTTTTTTAATTTGGATATTTATTATTGAGTGCATACAACTTCTGTATAATGAGCACTTTTTCCAGTGATTTACAGCATATATAATTTTCTCAAGAACCGATCGGATAACTTGATCTGTTGCCCTGTGCAAATTAAATGAAGATTTTGCTGAATACAAAGAAAATAATTCAGAAATTGTGCTAATTAACGTTCTCAATGTTCAAGTTTCATTGTTCAAACAAATGGAAATACACTGAAGTGCATATTATTTTCAAATTAACAAATATGAATATATTAGGGTGTCAATTTGAGTTAAATAAATAAACAGAAATTTAATAAATTGTAAATTGATCCCGGGTCAGTGAATTAAACATGTTGATTGAGAAAAGGTATCGACTTAAAATCAATTATTAAACTTAATATAGACAAGAATCCAATTTTTTGGTTGCTTGATCGTCTGCATGGGCAAGATATAGAAAAGCCAGGATTCAGGCAAGAGTAATTTTCCTATTAAATGCCGCGAAACTGCTGCTGGAGATTTTACATAAAAAATTAATGGGTGGGTATATTTCATGGGGAATCTTTTCCTCCCAATTTACCTACTCTACAATATACACTACCCGTGAAAATATAACGAAAAAATAAGGTAGTAAGTAGGTATTGTTTGTCAGAAGTATTCACTCTCAAGAAGCATTCTGCTCGTGCAAAACTTTGGACATTTTAAAGGTAAACAGTTGTAGATACCTACGCCTACGATGGTTTGGAAATAGACCCAGGGAGATTGTGAATGACGGTAAATTATAATTATTTTTAAGGTAAGCACAATAATAAAAAGGTTCAGGGCATAAGATAGGAACTTGAGTGACTCTACTCTACTCATTAGGTAAACCATCCCACAGAATCGGAACTTATCCATCTATCTGGGCCTTCAAAATGACTTCCAACGGTACTGAGAACATACCGTAGATTTTTCAATTTTTTTCATATGAAAAGCTTCAACTCGTTCTAAGTACGGCAGTTCGGCTGTTTGGATTTAATTACCTACGAAAAGACAGCTCAATCTCAACATGGAAAACTTCATCCTTTAAATGCAATCGCGGACTTGTTTGTTAATCTAATAAAGCATTATTTTAATTAACAATTAAGTAATGTCGTTTCCCTCTAATGGATTCGAATCAGGGTTTTAAAATGAAATTTCAAATTAATGGTTACACCTAATAAGGTCACCACTAATTCAAAAATAATTAGGATTTACTATATAGTGACTTCTTTGCATGTAGATACGCTTATTTAGTTTCACTTTTTTACACTTAAATTACTGTATTAAGGCTGTTAACAACCCAAACCTAACGGTTTCTACTAATTTACTATAATTCACTATTCAAACGAATTGAAACAAGGACAGCCTTAAAATCATAATTACCCTATTACAAAATTCGCACACAAAATACTTCATGCCTGACTCTACATAATCATTATTTAAAAATAAATTAAAAAGACACTTTGTCGAACACGCAAAAGGTTCACAACCTATCTCAAAGCCAGAGTGAAAGTCATCAGGGTTACCGTCGTCCGAAGAAGTACCAACAAGCACTTTGCCAGTAACGCAAATGCGTTTTTGTTGCAGAGTGAGATAAATCTCTAGTCATCAGCTTGTTGTAGGTGGTTCAATTCTAATATGATTTTTTTGGTGATGGTTTTTGGTGCTGCACTGGTCAATGGAAATGAGATTATTAGTGCTGAAAATCCTCGTAAGTTACAAATTTTGTTGCTAATATAAAAATTAATTTTTAGTATTTTTCATTATTAATAAAACAGATTTTTCGTTTAGGTGAGTATTTAACATAGTTTAAAACTTCGATAACTTCAAGAACATAAACATATCCCGTTTGTTTTCTCTAAGAATCTGAACAATCTATATTATCGTTTTACCTTACCTCAAGCTGACCAAAAATCTTCTAAATTAGGTACCTCGTAATTGCTATCCAGAGTGAGAACCTATTGAATTATTCCTAGCCTTAAACAATCAAAAATCTGAATTATGCTTGAAAACTTCATACTTAATTACTATTACTTGATGTATAGGTAGGTCCCTACCTTACTTTTCATGGCATATGGCATAAGACTAGACTAGCATTTTGGGGAAAGTTTGCCCATTGTTCTTACCTATGATAAGAGCCTTCTCAGTAGCTTAAATAAAATCCAAATTAGCTTTGAAAAACTAAAAACCACCAGATTTGGCATGAAAAGTTTCAATAATATCATTTGATGACTACCTAATTTTGTCATACCTTTTAAGCAAGATTTTCGTAATTTCCATTGCAAAATTTGAGCGGATTTAAAAGGTTATTAGGTTACATTTTGCCCTGATTAATTAAACATTTTCCATTATGCCTGTAGAAAGTGGAAAATATTTCTCAACAATTGAAGTCGTTGAAGATGAAATTCATATTGTCATTTTCAGAAATTAACTGAACTAAAGTCAAAAACCTACAGAAAAGAAATAATTCTTCGAAAAAATTAATTTTTCCCTTTCTTGAATATATATTATTTACTAGATAGGTCCTTCATAAATTACATAATTCAAATAATGACTTTGAATTGCTTCAGTTTTCTCAGCATGACCTTGATTTTGAACTAATCTGCTTTGTATTTTTCATAATTATGAGCAATTAGTCGTTTATGTAAGAATCTTAAGGCAAGTCGTAAAATCTTACCACAATGTTGTATATTTTTATGTTTTTTGTTTTCCCAAAGGTAAACAGGAAAGTGTCATAAAATTATGTTTTTATGATAGGTATTTCATTTAGTGTCCTTCATGCAGACACATATCCGCTATAAAATTTGCATTCGATGCAATTATTACCTAATACGACAAACCCAAAGTCAACAAACTTATTATTGCAGAGGAAACTTTCCAAAATGATTTAATAATTTTTTCTGCATTGTTAATGCTTAAAAATCATTGACGAGTGAAAGTCTTTCACTTTTATCTCTCTGTTAACGAGACGTGGAACAATTATTTTTGTATTAACGTAACGCGTAACATGAGCTTTGCATTAGTGGTTCTACTTTAGAGGACCCAGCAACGAAAAAGTTATAGGTAACCTGCAAAAAAAATCGATTTTAAAGGCTTCATTCTCGAAATGGGAAATATAAGAAGAGTATGGAGATTGTAGATTCTTCTTCAATTTCACATATAGCCGATTTCCTAGGCTAATGGCTAGGCATTGATAAGAAATGCTCGCCTGTTCACGCAAGTATCATCTTAACTAATCCACTACTATTATGCACAAAAAAAAAAACGTAAGAAATGTCTCTTCATGACCTCAATCTCCAGCAGCAGGCCAATAAACCTTGACTATGATAGCAACCTGTAAGCTCAGAGGATAGCAAAAAAACCAAATTAATGAGAAATTGGGAAAAACTAGGGCTAAAGGAAGAAATGAACACTCAGAACTGGAAATAGTCAAATAGAATCTTCAGTCACTTATGACAGTAGAGCAGAATCACCATATAGTTGGCTTGTTGTTCAGTCTAATTTCAATTTCAGTCCCATCTTTTTGTTTGGTGGAGATGGTGGAGTATAAAAAGGCCTCACTAAACCACCAGTGGCGTAACTACAGGGGGGCCTGGGGGGGCCGGGCCCCCCCAGACGTCGCTAGGCCCCCCCCAGAAAAAACTTTAATAATTTGATATTCCATGAAAGCTACGTTACCTATTATAATCCGATCCTCCGATCCACCAACGAACGGGCTGTGTGCAACTGTGCCACCCAAAGGTCTGTGCAAATTCCAATGTGCAGAAGTGATACCTACGCAGTATACCAAAGCCATTAAATTAGCATTAGCAATATAACAGATTAGTTTGGGAGTTTTACAAAATATTTTTTCTGAGATTGACAAGAAATGTCAGCATTTTTGACCGGTTGACAGGTCGCAAAACCCAATATTCTGGTATTTTAATTATGTTTCAATAGTTGCTAAGGAATCAATGAATAACAATACGAGAATCACTTTTCCGGCTTAGGCCGGGAAAGTGATTCTCGTACTGCTGAACAATTGGAACAAAAATACAAACGTTAAACAGATATTTAACCGATCTCAGAAAAAAATAGTATGTGTATTTCGGTGGAGAAGCACATTCTCGGCCTTCGGTGTTTGCCGGCCTCGGGTACGCCTCGCCCGTCAACTTACACCGTCGGCCGAGAATGTGTCACTTTTCCACCTAAATACACAATATACTATTTCCTGTGAATTCGTGAATCGGTGTTGCTGATATATACTTTACAGTGGCTGATAAGCTGGGTTAGCTAGGTAAGTGATTTGAGCCCGGTTCAGTCAGCTAATCGCCTATAATTGCACCGTTCTTCTTTTTTAAAGATTTCAACAAGTCGCAATAACAGGCCCTAGGCCACTGGCCCCAACTACAAGGGGGCATTGGGGCAGGTGCTCCCATGAGCAACCTCTCATGGGTGCTCGGAGCTCTCGTAGAGAATGCGAAAGTACAAACGTATTTAATGGTCATTCCGTTCGGTGTGGTAGTATCAGTATCATGTATGTAATTTAAATTTACACAACTTTGTATAAGAATTATACAAGTCGACCAAGTCGTATTAGTCTTAGATTAGGGAAGTATTAGTATTCTGTCGTTTCGTTATTTGTGGTCAATTATATCATATAATTGAGCTTAATAAAGCATATAATTTATATACTTTATTACTTTATATTGCTAATGTTCTAATGTTGCTATTCTCCATCTCTATTCTTTGATAATAATCGGGACATAAGGCATTTTAGGACATCAAAGTACCAGGCATAATGGGCTCTTTCACTAAAATTTAAATACGTAATTTTAGTATAAAATCCCAAAGGAGGGACTATTTTAGGCATATATACCAAAAAAAAAAGTTCTACAAGGTTAAATAAGTTTTTTACAGGCACTTGAATCTGGCGAAATTCAAACTTATTTAAAACGCGCCGATTTGCTGACGTCACATAAATATTCTTGATTTCTCGGCTGTGTTGCGCTCTGTGAAGATACGTAAAGGTTCGAATGCGCTGTTGTCGGTTGTGACTAAATGAAGTGCAGCGTAAAATAAAGAAATAAAACTAAACATAAAAAATTGTATTAAATTGTGTTTAAGCATGATTTAAAAAAAAAATTACAAAATCTTGAATCCATAATTAATTAATTTAACTAGGTACTTTTCATGAGATTTTGCCAACATTTCAGAATTAAATCTATTACAAATTTTTAATGTTAACAATTAGTGGCAACACGGTCAAATTGCGAGCTGCGACGTCATAGAAATAAATTCTGGGTTTTTATTTGGAGGTATTTCTTTTTTTTCTGTTTTCTCAAGAAGGACTTTGAATTTTTCAAAAGTAAAAATACAGAAAATTCTGTTTTTAGTTGCTTTATCCAAATATGCCAATTTCAAAAATTAGTGAAAGAGCCCATTATTTTGATAATGATGTGATATTTTCATGGCCTAAAATGCGTGCAGAAAGAAGCACTTTTCGCACGCTCGTAGAAAAAATAAAATAAAAAAATATATACACTATAAAATAAACGTTTTTAGGCGTGGCATCCGGAAAAAAAATTTCGCCTCTACCGGCGCCTACGGCGAGCTTCCCCCACCCCCTATAAACAAATTTATAAAAATATTATCCTGCGCCTATGAGGACTTTCAAAAATCGGCGCCTCTGCCAGGCCCACCCTAGGCCCCCCCCCCCACAGGTCAGATGGCCAGTGTAAACCACCACCCTGGCGATTTACTAATCGGGTTCAATTCTGGAGGACTTTAATCTTCTAAGATAGGCGATACTTATTACAATTCAGAGTAGAGTGGCCCATATAATTGAATACTCTATTGATTTAGTGTGCTTATACACCTTCGCCGTGGGTGTACTGGCACCTCACTTTTTTATATACGTATTTGCATTTCTGCAAATGTAGAATTAATCTGCTGGATGATGCTCCTGAATTCTGAAGCTCGGTGTTCTCTAAATATTATGTACCTACTCTGAAATGGAAACTGAAATTAGGCTTTGTTTTGAGTCAAAACTCTTGTAGATTCCCAGCGATGCTTCTCTACTGGTTTCTGCTATCGACGATCCTTTCAATCAACGATAGAAAGGCAGTCATGCTTGACCTATGATTAGACCAAGTCAGCAGTCGGTGTGCATAAGAGAGCAATCTTTGCTTTGGTCGTTTACTTGAATTCTTAAGTGCTCTGCCTAATAATCTGCAACGGATGCCTTCCTCTTGGCCTTGGTGACCTCCTATAGCTTGTGAGGTGTATTGGTAGCTGACATTTACTATTAAACCGATCCTCCTAAGTGGCTTTCGGGAGTGAGTAGGAACTGGAAATGTGTCCTGTGCACTTCACATCAATCCTCGATAATCTTTCGATCGCCCGAAATCTTCTCGTCGTTACTTTTGACAATGAGAGCATAGCATCGGGTGATTCCTTCATTTGTCAATTTCGGTTTCTCAATTTTTCTGTAATGGAAATGTCGATTGATTCTTCATGGATTACCACGTAGGTACAGCTTCTTCTCTTCTTCGAGCTGCTACATGAGGCACGGCTTCTCTGCATCAATCAAGAAGTCTTGTGTGTTCTTCCGAACTACCTTGGCGCAGTTTAATTAGGTATTTTTCGACTTCAGCCCTCTTGACACCATGGTGCCATAGATGGCGACAGTTTGTGTGTGGTATGACGTCTTCTTCACAAGTGGTCCATATG